CCCGAGCCAAGGGCTAACCCACCACAGCTTAGGACACCCTTAAGATTAAGACATATTGAAAGGGGAGAGAGAAGGGTTAAAAGAGGTGTGTGCAGTTGGAGATATTTAGCAAAGGAAGCTTGAAGGAACAGAAAGCTTGTGTTGGTGTATACTGGATTAGGAAGGTTTAAAAAAAGGGCTGGAAAAACATTCCTATGTAGCTACAGGGTTGCACAGAAAGGCTAAGGGCTTTTGGGGTATTGATGGTTATACAGAGGAGACAGCATTTGGAGGAAGGTCTGCATGTCTGGAGAACATGGGTTTGAGGATGCTACACAAGCATAGCATGGCATGGATGTGAAGAATCTGATAGTTACCCTAAGAACAGCTGGTGGAACTGAGTAACTGTTGGTCTCCAAGAGGCAGGACTTGGGGAGAGCCTGCACCTGCAGCTACCTGGCTGGGAAGTGCTCATGTACCAGAGGACATCACTCTTCTCCATTTTCAGCATTGCTGTTCCGCTTCGTGCCCTGTTGTGGCTGTCACCAAGAAAGCCTTTTGCATGCTCTAACCTCCTTTCATGTATTTCAGGATTTTTTTTAATGTTCTCCTCCAAGAGGACTGAGTTTCCAGCAGGCATAAATTACCCGAAGTTATTTACATCCTGAATCCAAGAGGCTGCAGCAATCAGTCGGTCAAGTTTAACAACAGCTTTCAAGTGCTTTAAAGAGGGCCCTTCTCACAGCTCTGCATTCCCTCTGCGCCAGCAGCCTCCATTTTAAGGCCCACCACCATCCTTGAGCTGAGTGGCAGACTGCACTCTCCTTCTTCTCAAGCACACCTCGCCTGCTGGGTGAGCTGAACGTGTTTAACAGTGGACTAGGCTGTGCAGGCTGGTTTGGTTTAGTCCAGCCTAGACCACCGCCAGCCCCTCATCTCTACATCTCCATCCCTCTCCTCACAGCACAACAGACTCCTCTGCCTCCCGCCTCAGGTGAGCCTGAAGGCGATTGGCCAGCAGTACTATCAGCCCCGCCTCTCCTCCCATGGGCACTGTCCCATCCTTCAAACTGCCACGGGCTACTCCACTCATGATTGGGCAGTTCTTCGGGCAATCTTTCACTCTCCGGCGTCCCTATTGGCTGAGGTAGGGCGGGCCTCAACCTCACAGCCCGCGCTGGCCTCCACGGGTAGTGTGTGGGGTTGGGCGCTGCCGGGACCAAGCTGTGGCTTTTCCCCGCGGGTTGTACACGCCCGTGGCCGGGCCTGCTGCCCTCCTCGATGGAGCTCTCCTGCCAAACGCTGCGAACCACCTACCAGGCGAGAGAGGCGGTAAGAACCGGCAGGCCGGGCGGCTGCGCGTCCCCGTTGCTACGGAAATCGCGTGGGAGGTTCTGCGCATGCGCGGGAGGAGGTTGTTCATGGCGGGAG